GCTGGGCCGTGCTGTCCCAGTGACAACCAACTAATGGAGAGGCCTTTCTTTGAATTAAAGTGAAAACAAGAAAACTGGTATTTCTGTCCTTCTTCATCTCCCTCTCTCATCACAAATGGGAATATAGCTGCCCTGGTGTGATTCCACACATACCAACCACACCTGGGAGTTGCTTCCTGCTGTTACACACTCATTTTATACCTGATGGATGCATACACGTGAAGATGCAGACACATTCACACTTCACACACATGTAGAAACAGGAACATAAGAATGAAGGAACAGCTTTACCTAAGTTAGACCAGAGGCTATAAAAGCCCAGGGTCCTTTGCTAACAGTATCCAGTGCCGCTACTCATGCATAGAGTGCAAGAACAGTGCAAGCACAAAGTAAATTTTTCTGCTTCAGAAGTATCCTTCCAGGTGTTAGCAGTTTATAGGCTTCCCTAACCTGAAATTTGCATCTCCGTTTTTATATTTAAGAGACTTGTTCTGTTTTTTTCCATAAATGTGTCTACTTTTCCCAACAATTGTAGCATCCTTTGGCAATGAGTTCCATAAATAATCACAGACTCATAAAATCTGTAGATGTCACTTCAAATACACAAGTACACACACAGAGATTCACTACAATATGACACCATGATTACTCAGGGGATATAAATGTTATTCAGATAAACAGGGGCTTGATAATTGAAGAGTCCTTTCTACACATGATACATGTCAGGGGATGTGACCTCATTTCAGGTAAGACCTTTTCAGATAAATGAATCCTGATTAATTGACATTTTGCTCAAAAAATTCTAAGAATTGCTTTCTACTGCATTTCTGGTAATGACAGTTGTTTTCTGTACTTCATAGGGACTTTTTTAGTTTGTTTGTTTCTCTTTTCAGCTCAATTTTACTATAAAGTTTTACACATTTTAAAATATGTCCACTTCTGCCTTCTAGTTGCTGAGGAATTAAACTGAAGACAACTTTTTTAAAGGAGCATTTTACAAGAGAAGTGACAGTCAGCTCTGCACTGACGGTAGACAACTACACCATAACAGGGCTAAGCTGTCTGGGACAGCCTCTGCCTTCAGTTCAGAGCTTACAGGGGACCTAGCACAACAGTGCCCAGTGCACATAGCTGATAAACCCCTACAGAGGTGGGGAGTTCTGCTATGAAGAAGTCCAGCTTAAAACTGGCAGCATATGCAGAATCCCAGTGCAGAATCTGGATGCTGGGAAAATCAAAGATACAGGACTCACAGAGGAATTAACAATTAAGGAGAGAGACTGCTGATTTCTAAGCAGATCTGACTCAGTCATGTCACTGGAGCTCTGTCACTTGCCTACTTACTTCCAAATAAAATGGGAAACATGTGGTGGAAAGAAGGTCAGAGATATCAAACCCTAACTTAAACGAAATCCATTGAGGGGCTAGCAGCATGACTTGCTAACATTGCCATTCTCTCCTTTTTTTCTCCATGTGTTTACATGTGAGAAACAAGTGCTATGATAAGGCAAATAATAAATAATAATTTTAATTTTGAAGATAAAACTAAGCCAAGAATTATGTTCTTTCCACTAGGGCTCACATAAGCATGAGCTCCGGCTAAGAGGCATGTCATCATAGCTGTTTATTGTGTAATAACCTCTCATCCTCTGAGACCCTATGCATTAGAGGCTTATGGTAAGTAGGCCAATTGTCTGCATCTAGTACATGAAGTTTTGAAGGCAGAGAGAAGCATCACTGCATTTCAGCTGGTGATCCTGTGGCACAGGAATTTGAGGCAGGGCTAGAAAGCTGAATCTCAAGCACTAAATATGATACTTGACAGATATATCAGGCAAATGCTGAAAAACTGTCAGAACTTCATGTCTTAATTGCAATTACCCCTATAAATGCTCCTAATACTGAAATACTATTTGTTTTAGAAAAAGGCCTGTCTTCCCTTTCCTCTAATGCATCACAGCAGACCCTAAGGCAAGGACACAATCACATTTCTTTACTGGCTTGCTCTCCTCTTCTGAACTGCAACTCAAGCTTCTCGCTTTCTCTCTTAAAATCCCACATGGGTCTCGTCTGCAGAATTAAACTGTATTCAGTGTTCTCCTTGTTCCATCTCCCACCTCTGAACTCTTTGCGTTCTCTATATGTTGCACATTTTTCCTGGAATGGACTTCTTCATGTGAGCTAATCATCATCATCCCCCAATGGCTCCTCTGAGCTGTTCATTCCCAAGGCTTTTACCATGAAATTTTCAGCATCTGAAGTTCTTATAAATACAAGATTGGAAGGCATCTTCAAGGCAATCAAAATCGGATTTATGGGTCCAGCTCTTGGAGTCAGAAAAACTGTGTGGTTTTCATCTGCTGTTTTTAAAACTAAAGGTATGGCAAATGTCTAGCCCTTGAAGATGGACAGCAGTTTCTTAAAGCTGATGAAAGCAGGCAAATAAAAAGCCCAGAATGGTAACTACTTTTTAAATCGCAGTTTTTCAATAAATATTTTTAAGCACTTGAGGTTGGCAACACTGCATTCTTCAATCAGTCCTCTCCATGCATGATGCTTACAATACTAGAGATCAGATTTTCCACTGATTGCAGAGACTTTGGATCCATTTCTACACCATTTTTACCTTTAGCCTTATCCTTCAATTGTTTTTGCAGGAAAACCATCTATTTTCACTACACACTAAAAGGTGCAGGGACTTTACACAAAGTAATACCCTATGGTACCCTAGCAGTAGTTAATATGAAATCCTACTAATAAATATTTAGCATGTTATTAGAATAGTAGTATATTCATTTAAAAATATGCTTACCTCTTGTTGAAAGGAACAAGGGGTTGTTCAAATAATTTGATGCAAGGCGTTTCCGCTACAAGTGAAAAGAAACCAACCACAGTGTCATTGAAAAGTGCTCTGCTTGTCTCTTTCCATTTCATATCCACAATTTCCATGAGCTTCCCTAATACACAACCAGCAATCCAGAAACCAGTTCTGTGATTTAGAATATATATTTGTAACCCTGAGACAGTCATACAAACAGTTGCATTATTTACCTTTCTAACAAGTTCTTCATAGAGCAGTCTGATGTGCATTAGATTTTATTAACAAGAGAGAAATGCAAATTGCAAATGTTATTGATTGGGTTGCTGGATATGCTGCAGAGGTTGGTAAGAGCAAAGCAACAGCAACAGTAACTCCAAACCTAGCAGATAAAAAATGTCCATAAAAGAAAAACTGCACAATAAATTGTTGCTGTGAGATGACATCTTTTTTTGCATATACAGAAATGGTGATGGACTTCCCACCAGCAGGAAAGTATCACTGCCTTCTGTGACATTTGCCTACAGTTCATAGGAACATATTTTGCTTGCAAGCTATGTATTAGAGCCTAAGCAAAATATTGCTCTTTCATAAGTACATGTGTACAACCTCTAGGAGCTGTTAGCGATTTCAGTCTGCTGAGGTCACCAAAGACTTTCAAACTTACAAACACTGGGAACCTGACTGTGATATTTAAATAATTTAATGCAGCCCATCGCCAACTTGTCAGATGGTAAGAGCTGTTGGTCAATAGCAAACGGGGCTTCATTATCAGTCTACTATATAACCCCTAATTGTTTCACTGAGACATCCAATACTTGTACAGCAGGACTGGAGACTGTACATTTTCCTGCACTGCATGTTGTTAGACTCTGCTTGGAGGAAAATTAGAAGAAGAAGAAAATTTCTCCTAATAAATGATTTATTCTGTGGTGAGTCAACTGTTCTCTTAGACACAGGTGCCTGCCAGTCTGTTAATGAATTTTGAATAGATATTTCTTTCTTCAAAAAATACTCAGCCTGAAACTTAACCCTTTCCTATGGAAAAAAATATTAAAAGCTACGGAGGGTGGAAAAATAGAATGTTTTTTGGTTTTTTTTAAAGAAAAAGCTTTAAAAAGAAAAAGCACAACATTCAAGTGAAGACATAAGACCATGATCACATTTCTATAATCAAGGAAGTTAGCAGCACCACTACAGATGCTGAGCTCCTGCCGTTTTGAGGGGCGTTGGCAAACAAAAAGTCTAATTTATATGCAATTTCAATTTAAACAATCATGAATTAAAGATCATTCAGTAGACTAACTGTAAATTAAACTGCACCAAAATGCCTGAAATGCCACAAAATACCTCAACTCACTGATTAGCAAATCAATCTGAGCAGCTAATTGATCAGAGAAAAACCATCTGCCTCCATTTTACTTGAACGGCATTCCCCATAGTCAGTACTTAATGACAACTCCTAATGAGGACACAGCTGATCAGCCACAGGACTCTTTCACAAACATTTCTTTCTCTGTGCCATCTTTCACTTCAGGATATGCTTTTGAGAATAGATATAATGAGAAGTATGAATTAGGGCTGCAGCAGACCTCCTCCACCACCTCCTTCATCCCTGCTCCATGATAATTTAGTTTCTCACAAACAGTGATCAGACTACAGCCACAAAACTCTGCTGCATGTATTTTAATAAACTCATCAGGACAAAAGGGTCTAAGAGAAGACACTACAAATGTAATGTTAGCAAGGCTGAGGTTCCTACTGTGTTAAATATTGGACAAATGGACATCGGTATTTGCTCTGAAGAGGTCAACAGAGAAAAGCTGAGGAGTTCTGAAGAATTCAAGTGCCCAAAAGTGCTCTGGAGCATAAAGACCTCCGATATTTTAAAAAAAAGAACAATCAAGCCACTAAGCAGCTTGACTACCATGGTGAGTTTCTTCTTAGCCTCATCTGTCTGCTGTCTGCCAACAGACACAGAAATCTGAAATGTTGGCATACCAAAAATTCTGCATTGATTGTGCTTAAATAAGGAAAAAAAACCCACTTTTTTTTTAAGCTTGAAGAACTCGTAACACAAAGAAATCTTGCTTAAATGGAGAGCTGACTACAAATCAGTTTCATTGCTGTAGGAAGTTCAAATAGTAACCTCAAACTCTGATTAAATTTTAAAGGTGGAATTTTAATATTCTGAATAAATGCATATATGCCAGCTCAGAAACAAAGAAAAAAACAATTTCAGAAAAAGTTAGGTCTATTTATATGCTGCTTTTACATCACGTTTGCAATCCAATATTATGTAGGACCAAATTTTGCTACTACTATGAATGTAACAGTATAAGTTTAACAGACAACAGAGATTATCCAGAGCATTTTCTTTTTAATTATGCATAATTATATTTATTGTGCAGGTTTCCATACCCCCTGCAGAGCACACTGATTCTTAAAACAACACATTTCTTATATGAATGTCACTAATAAAAAAAAGGCAAAGTTCTCCATTTTTTATTTGGCACGTAGGAAAAGAGAAATAGCAATGCAAGCTTGAACATAATGCAGCACTTCTGTTCTTCAGTTCTGACCTAAAGGGACAGTCTGCATGGGTGAAAGAGTAATTAGGTCCCACATTAATTTAGCCCTTTTGGCCTTTATTAAAACTAAGATAAATTCTAGTTTGAAGCAAGTGGTATGATTTTGTTGTGGGGGTGAAAACCTGTTGCTTAGCTACTGAGATGAGATCTTTTCTTTCTTTTCCACATCAATATCTCTTTACAAGTAAATGTGTGGTTCTGCATTCATAAATATACTTTTGTAATAAGAAGCACTTAAACCTTTTATTGACATGAAATAGAACCGTGGAAAAAAAAGTGAATGATAAAGTACCTCTGTTTCCAAGAGTCCACTGTAGGCTGGATTTGCTGTGCTTCTTCTCTTTCTTTCCTGACGCTTGCTCTGGATTTCTGTAACCATGGAAAGAAATATGAATTGTGTGTTTCTCATTCATCAGGGAAAAATGTAGATCTAACTTGTTAAGCAAGATTCTCTTACCCTCAACCCCTTGGGCACTGTGTTCAGTTTCAGTTTCTAAAGTATAATTGGGTTGCATCAGCATTGATATTTGCTGCAGTTCAAGGTTTGACATTAATAAGCTTTTCCTTGTAAGATTCAGAACACAGGCATTTTTTTCCCCTCCTCCAAGGTGGACTTCTGACACCCTACAAGATTTTTATTATGATCCCTTCAGACACATATTCAGCAAGCATCAACAGAGAGCTTTCAAAATAGTATCAATGGCTGCTATTATTAACAAAAATGAAGCATTTAAAGCAGTTAAGCCTTGTAATTCATATCAGATGAAAGCACAGAGATCCTTTTAAATTTAATTTACATTACTTTTCCTCCACAGAGGTTAGAAAAAGCACAATCAGAATGGCATGTCTAGATTCAGCCCTAACTAGGGCGTGATGATTTATCCATCCAAAAATATACAACTTCACAATCCTGAGCATATAAAATGTTGTTATGAACTGTATGTATTTGTGTCACTGGAAACAGCAGCATAAAGATAGGTTTATTGAACTGCAGTCCTGTTTGGAAGAGGGTGAAACACAAGAGAAATTCCTTCTGCTAAATGGTAACACCTACTCAGGATGGTGCTGGCCAAGGACTGCATTTAGCAACAATTAGTCACATGCATACTGCTGTAAACACACACAGAAAGGGAGGATTCCTCGACCCCTGAAATCTGCAGATTTAATGTTACTTTTGTCTGAGCTAGGGTTTCATTTCTGTCATATGGAATTTCTTTTTCCAGCTCTTGACGTAAGTTCAGAATGGTGAGATTATTTATAACCAACCATGTATTTTAGAGCCTACTTCTTATTTTGATAATAAAGTAAGAGCAGACCTACTTCAGCAAGGAGAGCCACCCAATACTATCTAAATACAATCTAAACTGCACTGAGGCAACAGAAGGATGTTAGTCTAAATGCCCCTGTGATAGTGATAACTTCGTTGTGTCTTGCTCTAAGTAAATCTCTCAGAACAAGAAGAACTGGCAGGACCATAAGCCCTTCAGCTCAGAGGACCAGGAGCACACTAAACAGAAACTCAGGACACTATCTGGTTCTGCAGAATGTCTGGCATCTTTCATCAATGTCTGAGCTAAAGAGGTCTATCTCAGAACATCCTCAGTGCCAGAAAATGTCCTTCAGGATATTGAGCACTATCTTCCATCTGCAATCCCAACAGTAAGATACAGTTCAGCTTTCAGAATGTTTACAATACATGGACATAGGATTCCCAACACACAGTTCTGGTTTCCACTCTTTCCAAATCTTGATCGCTTCACCACAGAGTAAAAGGGGCCACATACCACTTGTAAGTGTTGCTACAGTAAATGGTATTAGTATTGTTGGCCATGTCTTGGACATGGTGACCCTAGAGACAAGGCCAACACTGCAAGAATTTTGTACTGCTCTCTGTTCCAAGATATTGATTTGAAACTTTTCATTCACAGAATCACAGAATATTAGGAGTTGGAAGGGACCTTGAAAGATCACCTGGTCCAACCCCTCTGCCAGAGCAGGATCACCTAGACTGGGTCACACAGGAATGTGTCCAGGCAGGTTTTGAATGTCTCCAGAGAAGGAGACTCCACAGCCTCTCTGGGCAGCCTGTTCCAGTGCTCTGTCACCCTTACAGTAAAAACATTTTTCCTCATATTCAGATTGAACCTCCTATGCTCCAGCTTGCTCCCATTGCCCCTTGTCCTGTCACTGGCTGTCACTGAGAAGAGCCTGGCTCCTTCCTCCTGACACTCGCTCTTTACAAATTTATAAACATTAATGAGGTCACCCCTTAGTCTCCTCTTCTCCAAGCTAAAGAGACCCAGCTCCTTCATTTCATTCATGAAGGACTATTGGCTAAGCCGCCACTCTTGGAGTGACAGATGTATCAGAAGGAAACTGGATAGACAAGAAAAACAGAAGGGCAATTACTTGCATACTCTGGCTGGGTTTTCCCACTGGCATGAGAACATGTCACCCTTATGCTCAGAAGGTGTCTTCTCCTAGGGCAATGCAAAGAGTACAGGCAGGTCTGTATTCACAGTCTGACATGAGCTAGACATATGCTGCCATGTGACTCAGGGAGCTATACAGAATCTCACTATCAAGAAACGTGTGATCCGAGGCTGCACTGAGACGTGAGATAAACACCACGGCTGCTACCACTGCCAGCGTCTTGTTAACATCCTTGGTGCTACACAGACTTCAAACCGGAGGATCTTGTATGGGTAACAGATTTGTCCCACTGTGAAAGTATTTCCTATGAAATGCTCATCTGGCTATGCTAAAATCTCCATCCTGAAGCTTTCAATCCTTTTGGCATCCTCTGAGGGGAATCGGGACTCAGCAGCTGGGTAAGTGCTAGACGTGGATCCAGTACCCTGCCACAGAGCCACCAGAAGAGAGACGGTTGTACTTGATGCATTACACATATAGGTGTAATGCTCTCAAGACCAAAAGGTGCCAGAGATGTCACGAAAGAGGAACTGTGTGCCTTGATGCTGACAAAGAAATGGAGAAAGCAGACGTCTGCTGACTTTTTACTTTGGTCTCAACAATGTGAGCTGGAGCTGTCATTCTTGCAGCCAAGCTCAGCAACCTGGTACATGGTCAGTGAACCCAGGGCTTGCAGCATCTCAGCACCCTTGTGGCAGTGTAGGGGAAAACCTGGAGTTAGGGCCACTCAGGCTTAGTCTTTTTCAGAGGTTGTCACAGGGATACGAGATCGTCATTTTTCACTGGCCCAGAAAAAGAAACAAAGAATTTAACAAAGCAGAGCTTTCTGTGTGCCAGGGTCCATAAGTGGACCAAGTGTCTTCACAAGAGGATTGTGATGGATCTGTAGCTCTCTGCCCTTTAGGGTCCAAGGTTTAAGAAAGAATTTGTTCAGTACATGTTCTCACCAAGGCAACAGAAATATCTGATGGAGTCTGAATCACACATGTGGTAGCTACCTGGAACGCAGCTTTGGAAGAGGCACCTCTATGGTACAGAGATAAAAGCTGGCTGGGGGGGGGGAGTAATAGCAGTGGGAATAGATAGAAATAAAGAGAGAGAGAGAGAGAGAAAGTAATGAACTGAAATGACTGTAGCTGTACTGCACCCTATGCCACCATCAGATGGAGTCAGCACTGTATTTATGGAAAATGTACAAAAAAAATTCCATGCTTGTGATATATATATATATATATATATATCTCCTTGGGGTTTATACATCTAAAAGTGCATCTGCAAATAATCATCCCAAAATAGAACATAAGCACACATTGGTATACTATCTTTTGTTACTCGTTACCTCTGCTAAAAAGTATTGTGTATGTTTCAAAATAGGGCTTAATAAAGTAAAAATAAATAATTTTTTAAATGATGAAAACATTCCAGTAACCTATTTAGAAATATTTCAGGGTTTTTATTTTGCTACAAGATGTGCATTTTTAGAAGGACCTGAACTTAAGAAGTCTTTTAAAGTTTTCTATCTACTTCTTTTTTTTACACAACAGGAATGCTAAAAGATGTTCTAATAGCCTAGAGAAAGAGATTTAATATGTTACAACCACGCACTGCATCACAGAATTGGACTATCTTTTTCTTTAGTTTATTAATTTAAAAAAATATAGCCCAGAGAGAAAGGAAAAAAAAAAGAACAACTCTAAACTGTAATACATTTGACAGAGATTAACAAATTCAAAGACAGCTTTATGTTGGAGGCATAGCTTCAATAAGCTGTTACCTTCATCAGTAAACTTCGTATGGTCATTTGATGAGGCCCATAAAGACAATTTATCTTCAGTGAAAGCCATACCTTACAGAACGCCCGCCAGTGGAAGTGGCTGTGTCCATTTACTGGTAAAAGCCTCAAAAGATGCCTCATACTTAGGCTCTGCAGAACAGAGCTTCTTTCCCAGTAAGGGGAAAGATGCTCCTCCAGACATTAGGTGGAAAGGCTGCTAGGCTGATAGAGAAATCCATACAGAAGTGGATCATAGCCCTTTACCACAAAATTAATGAATAAAATGAAGAAAAGCAGTAACACTGTGAATTAATGATACTGAGTGAATAAGTTTTTAATGACCCAATCTTGATATGGTTTAATTCCAAAAATGTGAAATTGAAAAATACATTAAAGTACTAAAATAAACTGAACTGTGTAATAACCACTGCTTCCTGATAAATAGCAATGGCTGATAACCGTAAATATGACATAGCACTAAAATAATAACCTTTAGCATGTGAAAGCTATAAGGGTATTTCTGACAGTTGTAACCACCAATACTCATGAAGAAATACCCTTCCCATAGTAAGTAGCTCTTGGTGGGAGTCATTTATTTAAAGCTACTAGGAATATAAAAAGTTAATCTATCTGAAAGAATTGATTCTGCAGGATTAGTATTGTAGCAGTTAGGTTCAAAATGTGCATCTTCATACTTACTGTAGACCAAACAGAGCAGAGTGGTACTTGCCATTTTGAACACAAGCATTAAATCCACACAAAAATTTATTAGCTCAAAAAAAATCAAAGAATAAAGAATTATTCAATATTAAGGTCTCTCTGTTGTACGCATAATTCGCACTTCAGCATAATTTCAAATGTTGTCTTATTTTCCTTAGACAAAGAAAACAAGAACCAGTCATCATTTGCACTTTTTGGATTATAAATCTTCTCCCAAAATTGCTGTAGCTTTTTAATTTCCATTTCAATCCATTACCATTAAGGGATTAAAAAGGCTGACAGCTTAAAGTTTCTTTAAACTGCTTTCAAATTCCCATTCACTGGGACATTAAATTATTTTCTAAAATGCAGATTTAAAGAGGAAAGACACTAAAAAAAGGCAACAAGACCCATAGAAAACCTGCTGCATATATGAAGGAGACCTTACAATTAAGATGCTATTTTCTCCCAAATTCAGCACCTCTCTTAAAACCATAGAAACCATGGTTTCTATGATTCATAGAAAACCATAGCACAGGGAATCTTACTAAAAAGAAATCAAGCTGTAAAACCTTTCTTGAGTCAGCAAGGTATCTAAGCATGTGCCTAACTCTAAAGCACATAAAATTTAAATTCAGGGCACTTGAAATTCCTAAGTATTTTGCTGACAGTGGATGATGGGATGGCTGGTAAATGTCCATTATTATTAACATTTTCTGCGATCATGAATCATTGTCAGCTGGCATAGATACCAGATTTGTTCTTTTTACACCAGTAGAACCACACCAACTTGTATTACCTGAGCACGTAACTAAAACACATCAAGCTATACACTTTTTCTTAAAAATAGCTGTATCTTCTCATCTGTCCATGAAAACTAAGCCATTCTGCCAAGAAACCCCCCAACTCACCACAAGCCACTGGGAAAGTTGCTGAACAAGCACTTCCCCCCCCCCCATCCACATTTTCAGAAAGACAAATCAGAGGCAAAGAAAGGTGCAAATCTGCTAACTCTTCCAAGGTATTTTGGGGAGGTTGGAAAAGTAAACTGAACAGTATGCGATACTGAATTTAGGTTATATGTGGTATTTCTTTGAACTCATATTCAGCAGGCTAGGAAGGCATACTAGCAGCTCTCACACAAAAGCAGGATCAGACTGGAAGTTTGTTTATTTTTTGGCTAAATGAGAGGAAGTAGAGGGAAGGAAGTCTTTGCAAGAAGTAGTTTTCTAATTTCCTTAAAATCTTATAAAAGAAATGCCAGATTTTCATCACTATTCTACACATTATTCCATGTAACTCTAGAGATAATTAACTGAAGAAATGAAGGTCCACTTCACATGGGGAAGGAGGAGAGCACATGCTTGCTACAGAAGATCTGGGTAAACATCTTTGAACCTTGTTGACTCTGCAACCAGATCAGTGCTGGTCTGCTTTGCAGATGTTTTGCTTCACTATCATCCTCCAGTTGTTAATATCCTTTAAAGGACCATGATGACTTAGTGAGCCCAAATGCCAGCTTAGGCCAAGCCTGCTGGTGCTGGCTGCAGAGCCAGTTCTCATGCCCCTTGAGCTGTGCAATGGGATGGGAGGTGAGACTGAAAAGCACAATTCTGCATAGGCAGCATTTCACCTGATTTTTTAATTGCCTTTCTGAGGACAGCCAAGAGAAAATACTTCACTCAGAAACTGAACTGTAAAGCAACATTTGTCATCTTACCTTCCAAATGTTCTGTTGTAACCAGTCCTAATGCTACCATGAAGGCAATTTTCTAAGGAAAAAATAAACAGGAGTTAGATTTCCTACAACAATAATCATGGTAGAAGTAGGTAAATAAATTAATCTAGCATTGACAGAGTAAACCCAGTAAAGGTCTTTTAGAAATGTATCTTATTTGAATGCATAGTAATATGAAGAACTTTTATTGAAGATTTGCTTCAGATATGCCTGGTCAGTCACATTGTACTTATATGACTGTATGAACTTCAGCAGTTCAGAGACTTATGAAGCCAATGCTGTACAAATACTGATTTTATACAGCTCATGATCAAAATTCAGTCAAATCCTTCAATGCATTTTCATCTTGCTAGCTGCTTTGTTACTCTACTCTTTAAATAATTAATTATGTATTATTATTACTATCTGGACATGGCACTGACTTTATTGGATGTGAGCAAGCTGTATGAAGTAAAACAAGATACAATATACTTTCACTGACCTTTACAACACTAAACAAGACGTTTGAAGCATGCTGAAAGCCCTCTCAACCCAAAAAAAGCTTTCAGAAATTTCTCTTTCCAAGTTACAGAAGGAATATCACATGCATGAATTATGTAGAAGAACACTGATCCAGTATTTTCTCTCAATGAGGAGTGAACAAACATTTCCCACTGACACTGCTGAACTCATTTTGCAGTGAGGAATCTGCTCTAAAACATTACTTGGAATTATTTTACACCATATATTCACAAATACAGCTGAATACTAACAAATCTTCCAATACAGTAATAGGGTAAGTACCAGGGCAGACTGTATTTTCTGACAGTGATTTTTCATTGGGAAAGTTTTCCTTGCAGAAATAGTTTTGCTGAAGGATCTATTCCATCTTTTTGATGGAAAACTGAAATTCTGCTGTGTTGTTCCAAACCCAACTGAACTGAAATTCTTGGTTTGAAGTCAGATCTGTGCTACTATGGGGCCTCTTGGACCTCTCTCGAATCTCTTCCTCTCACTGCTGTGCTTCACGCTCTTGCTGGATCATGTTACCCAAGTGGCATTTTCATGAGATGCAATTCCACAGGAGGGACAATCTGACTATGAAACCCAAGCTATTAGGAAACCTAAGCAAGCAAAGCCCACAATCCAACTCTGATAAAGCATCCAAAGACCATAGGAAGATGCAATTATCATCCTCACCCAAAATAAAATATACAGATTTAGGTCAAACTAAAATACAGCATTTAAGCAGCAGAAGGTCAAAACATTCTGTTTCAATCAAGGAAGAGTCAGGAGAACATATTTCAACACTTTAAAGTCAAAATTAGCTTGACCTTCTTGTTTTGTGAAAAGCCTGATGATTCAACTTTCCATTTCAGTTCAGAAGAAAATCAACTAGCAAGTCAGTGGAACTACCATTTCCTTTGCAATTCTGACTTTCACACAGTGAAATTGTGAAAGCAAGTACATCCTCATTTTGTGGATGAAAAGATCTAGCTATGGGGTGGGTTCTTCAAAATCTGAGGGTCAGGATTGCAGATCCATACCCCTCTTGTATCTATGAAAATACTTTTGTCAAACAGGTGAACTAAGAACCTCATAAGACAGGAATATCTTCTTTCTAGTCTTTCCAATCTCCTGGTATGCAACTCCCCCTGTAGATTAAAAAATGGTGCTGTTGAATCTCATCATTGGTAATTTAGATATATTCATGCTATATTTCTGTCTTCACTAACTGTGGTAATGATGAACACATATGTTCAGATCCATGTCAGACCTTGATTTCAATAATGTTCACTCCTTACATGTCTAAAACACCAGCTAGACAGAGTGAGGCCTCCACACCAGAACGGAAAGATGAATATTTGATCAAGATCCACTGTGTAGATATGAGAACATTAGTCAACTGGTCATTACAAGCTTCACCTCACTCTCACCAAAAAGTAACTTTGTGGCAGGATACATCTCAGTACTCTGAGTAGAAGTAATGACAACATCTAGGTACAGAATCAGAAATTTGGAACAGTTACCGTGCCATTGTATCTTCCCAGTAGAGTGCAGAACGCCTGTATTACCTGAGGATTAAACTGTAGGGGTAACATGCATTTTTTAACATCTAAACTAAAATTATTTGAGTACTGGAATGCTTGCTAAACAATTTCCTCTCTTCACACTAAAATTATTTGAATACATATCTAGTTAAATGTAATGACAGCATACTTGGTTAACATATGAAGAGCCTTCATAAATGGACTTAATAATTATCTCACTAATAAACACAGGAAGGGGTAGCTTTTATAGATATTTGAAAGATGGTTCCTTTAAAAAAATCCCAGTAGAAGCTTTATTCTTTTTAACAAGCTTATTATATTAACAGCATATTTGCTTTTATGGATTTTGCCGTTTCACACTCATGTAGCTTGTTGAATTCAACTGAAAATAGCACTGCAATGCTTTTCTTTCAAATATCACAGAGTCTATCATTTCTCCTCTGTAAAGGAATCCACAAAACTGAGGCTTCAGTTTCTCCAGATTTTCAGTCCAGTCCTAGCACTCGCATTTAGTTCACAGTTGCAGTGTGTCTCTCTTGTCCTTCTTATGTGGGATTATAAACAGTTAGCTAAACAGCAGTAATTGTGGCAGTAATTTTTCTTTTAAAGAAAAAAAAACTTCTAGAATGTCCTGGAAAATGTTGCCAGAAGTATAAAAATTTACTAATATAAAATTCTGAAAAAGTAAAAATTTTGGGCAGAATTCTGCTTCTTTTTGTGCTGAACTTAGGTCCTTTTAAGAAAAGAACAAAACAAAACAAAACAAAACAAAAACCAAACCCCCAGGCACTTTCTCCCCAGAGGAGCAGCTCTCTTGCATAATTCCTTCATTCTTTTAAGAAGTCATTCTGCTGGGAGAAAGCCCATCACTAGACAGGTAGTTATTGGCCTCCATCCCCAGCAGAGCCCTGCTGATGGCAGCGAGCAGACGGACCATTCCTCCAGACCCTCCACAGCCCTGGGGATACTGAACCCACATGGCTTATACCCCAGCAGAGGGCTCTAACCACTGCACCTGGGCTGTCCTGGGTGGCCAACACCCTCCATTCTGCTTCTGGGAAAGCTACTCCCCAGCCAGGTGCCCAGGCCTCGTGGCTGCAAGACAGTGGATGTGAGGAGGTTTGCTTTAGTCTAATGATGACATACTTGGGAAAGGAGAAATCTTTGGCTTCTGCAAATGGCACATGTATTGCAGGGGGCTATGTCCAGGATCAGCTTCCCAGCTTCCCAGCAGAATGATGAAGCCAGGAACAAGGGACAGTAATTACCCTCAGTCTTTTCTGTTCCTTCAGGTACGCTCAGTAACTGCATATGAGATTCTTGAGTACTGGTAAGTCTGCTGGTTTCTGGTTTATTTGTTTTAATTTTTCCATTTAATTTGTTAAATCCTAGTCAGTCATGACTAAAATTTATGTAGAGCCATAATGGAGTTCCTGCCTCAGTTCTGTGCTTTGAAGATAAATAAAGGTGTGGGGAGAAGTGCCTAGAGTGCTTATTTTCTTTTTAAAAATATCATGGTATCATTGTTACTCTTTGCTTTAAATTTAATCATCTGTTTAAAAGCCATGAATGCTTTTAGAAACGCACAGTATTTCTTTTCATGAAGCAAAACAAAGATTTTTACAAAACCATTTCATTTTGTAATTACATGTTCTATTTATGTCATTACATGTATTTACACTAATTATGCTGTTAGTTCTAATTACACTAATTGCATAAATACATGATAATCAACTAAAGTTTACTTTCAAAGAACAAAAGAAATTAACTCTAGACCTATATATTTACAGCTGTGAAACAAATCTAGGAAAAGAACCATCATATTTAAGAGCATAGCTTCAGCATCCCACCCAGAAAATTTTGCTTGTTGAGATCTCCCATTTACACAGTAGGAACAATGTTCTTGGTAACAAAAAAGGTAGTTAGGGTAGTCAGGAATTTAATGAAAAGCTCATTAAATTTATGAATGCTATACCAAAAAGTGTCCCCAGACCTATGGCCTCTTCCTGCATCTCTCTAGAAGATTTTTGCTCAACATTCTTTCTGGGGGGATAAGTTAGAGGCAAATAAAAACAGACAATTTCTCTAGCATTCTGTTTCTAACCAGAATCTCCCAGCCTTCCTACCCACAAGGTGCTACACAACAAATAATCTTTTGGAAATATCTCCCTAATCAAAACAGGACCCTGCAGTCCCACCATTCAGTGGCAACGAAGATTCATGTGAGGGTCAGGTTTTAAACTTGGGAGGTCTCATAAGCGTAGTTGTGCAGTGCTTCTGCATAAGGCTGTGATATTCTAGGCTAAAAGTGACTATTTATCCTTAAAACTGTTTTCACTATAAAAACCTTTTAAAATTGTAAAATGAATGACCACCCACATGCCCCAGGTAACATTATATATTTATATTGTAATAATCCTCTTAAACCTACAGCTCCAAGAATGCTTTCTTGCCACACATTTATTATACTAGTAAGGTTAAGATTTTGTATAAGCTGAGCATTTCCACAATAGAAGCAGATTCGGCTTGTATAACTTCTCAAGTTGCCTCAAAAGCACACAGAATAGAATGTGAATACATCTAGTCAAAAACCAAAATGCCTGTTAGAGAGAAACCCCATTTCTACAAGGACTTCTGATTTATATTTTCAGTTTAGATCACAAATATAGTTCATGAAAGAGATTTAATCTTATAACCTGTTTTCTATTCTTTTACTCAATTTGAAGGATTTTAATCTATTTCAGACTAGAAAGAATTTGTGTACGTGTGGGTAGATGTGTGCACATCAAATGCAAGAAACTGTGTTGTCATATACAATCTAAAAATTGCAAAATTCATTACAAAGAAGATGTAAGAGCTCAGCTTACAAAAGAAGTGTTAATTCAACCTCATACTCAGCCTGTAAACCTGAAGTTATAGTTTTGATAACAGAAAAGAAAATATCTTAAGCTTGTAAACACCTTTCACAAGAAATACAGCTATACTCATGCAAGGTGCCTAGATTATTATGAGACCTACAATTCCTACATTTTGTGACACTGGAAGGTTTGAATCATGCAAACCAAATTTGTCAGAGCACCTGACTGGTGGGGAAATCATCCTGACTGCAGTGATCAGGTAGAGAGATGAACAACTGGCAGAACCATGAGCACAAATGCAATAACTATGTATGGACACACAAAAAAAGTTTAGAAGTGGCCCCTTAACCATACTTTTTCTCATATATTTAAAAAAAATAATAATTAAAATCACCTCTGGATTTTCCTCCTTTTTCTTTTTGGTAGCAGGGGGTCCCTGAGCTGACTCTTCAGGAGGTTTCTTTGTCTCCACTTTACTTTCTGTCTGGGTTTGGACTTGAGGCTGAATAATGATAACCTAGAAAACAATGTACAAATAGAAGAAGAGAATTAACTGTATGAAACGGGATTTTTCTGCCTGAAACCTCTGATTCTTCTTTGAACAGTTACTTGAAACCTCTACAGACAACAGATGCAGCCAAAAATATAAACAACTGGATACCTAGGTTAGAGTTCTAAATCTATACTTAAGTTTCTAAGATTAAGTTTAAAATTAATTTTTATAGGTGCATTATAAACATGCTGCAGCCTGAAGAAATCACTTCAGTGTCTCTGAAAATTAGGGCACTTTCTATTCAGAGGACTTCTGAAGCTGAGTCAGCAGCCCAGCTTTAGCACTCATGTTGTCAGTTATTTTAAGGTCTTTGATTTTAGTTTGCATACAGGTAGAAGAGACAGAATTACTACACATTCCAAACCACAGTCTGATCTCAGTCATACCAGTGTTATTACTGAGTAAGGACATGAGGATGGGAAGGAAGATACTCAGTACTACTCAAGTAAGTGAGATCAGAGTTCAGTCCTCAGCATTTATGGGTTATGAGCAGTGGATGTCCAGTTTTGCATAAACAAAATAAACTATATGCATTTTAACTGAAAATTCATTCTAGTCTAGAACCTACAGGAATTACTACACACATCTCTTATACATGCATGTATGTTAGTATATCCAGCTGCTTGTATTTGAATGACCACATGAAGATTTACATGGTGCAGATAACATTATCTCAGAAGCTATTAAATTAAAAGGAATGAAGGACAATTTCTGACCACAGAACTACACATGTGATTTTATACCCACAATCAAAGCTTCATGAAGGACTATGGAAGATCTTCCCAAGTTCATCTTCTTGATGAAGGTTATCAGATTTGAATGCTGGGCTTTTAATATCTATTTCATTGCTAATTTTCAATCAATGTTACTAAATTGTTATATACTTTATCTGAACTCAGTCACTCTAGAAGAATCAAGAGCATAAAAAGGGATGGTTTTCTTAAACAGCAGCCACTTTAAGTAAGAGAAAAATAAATTATGTTTGAGAAGTAAGGAAGAGATGCCTGCTTTTACGTACCTCAAAAGCCATCTCACATCCTGTATTCTTTTTTACCAATGTATGAGAACCTGTGCTGCCAACAAGACCCAAAGTAGCAGAATGCCAGTAGCAAATTACAATAAATGTCTGCTGGGTACATCAGCAGCCTTTATTGAATTTGTTTCTGGTACAAGAGCTTTGCATTTCAAAGCTGAAAAGCAGTACAAAGAGGAAACAAGTAATTCATAACTTGATTTTTTTCCTACAGATTCATCTGCTGATCAGTTTTGAAACTCTGCACTCTCATTTCATTTGGTCTTCCCCTGAAAGTGTAGAAGTGAATGCCTGATTATTTGATACATTCCCCTGGGGTCAGCCAATATAACTAATATCCCTATATAATTGAAGAGGGAGTCCATAGGAAATTTAAGCCTGAACAGAATTCAGGGATATTATTAGTGAAGATTGGTTTAAGGAAATGGAAGATCATATGGTCCCATTAATAAAGGCTACATCGTGCTGCATTTTGTTCCTCCTAAAAGATATGTATGTACACAGACAAATGTCTACTAGCATCCATGTGTCCCCTTAAGAATTTTCCTATTGCTTTCTGATTATTTTATTCCAAAGGAACCACTGACATCACTCTGCACAGGGCTATGGACTCCAGGAGAATATTCTGGTTACATTTGCAATGTAATTCCTATGTTCAATAACAAAAAAATAGTTGGGAAAAGCAGGACCTACCTTGTTGTCGGCACTAATGAGGAGTGGTTGCACTTTAATGCTATCGTTGACCACAGAGACAGTTGCGCTGGTGCTGATAGGAGTTGCATTGTTGGGGGAGGTGGAAATGATGGCGTACGCCACACCTGCACTGCTCAGAGGTGATGAAATAGCTGTAGGCTCGGTGACACTTTGTGACTGGCTGTTAGGCGTCTGTACATGGCTGACAGTGTTATTGGCAGTTGGGAGGGCAGGGCTGGGGTTTTTGATGCTGACTACGGTTGCCTTCTGGAAGGTAGGAGGCTGCTTGGAAGGTTGGTCTCTGCACGGGGAGATAGGGAGGCTGTCTGGAATCAGGGTCTTTGGCCTAACCTACAGACAGAGAGTTAGATGTTATTAGACACAGCCTCACACCACAATGAAAAAACACTACATACATGTGTTCCCCCAGTAGAATCTCTAGTTGCATTAACCATGGAATAGGAGCATCTAGAAAAACATAATGTAGCAACTGAAAGTAGTCAGGCATTCATTTACTTGTAGATATATTCCCAGCACTCCTCAGTTGAGTCATTTTGGAGTCCTTAACTCATTGCAATGCTGAACAAGAAGAGAGAAAAAAGTAAATTCCTCACTTTTATTAGCACACATCCATACAAATGCTACTCAAGTCACATTCCAGTTCTCAGTAGGGATGTTGAAGCCAAAGCCTTTGCAAAGAATGGAAACACCAGATGCAATAATTTCTGTTCTGAAGAATGCAACAGCCTTGCTATGAATTAAGGAGTTGTATGAAAGCATTGTGGGAGTTGTGGGGAAGCATTTACAAGAACAGTAAGCATATGCATTCACACTGGTGGATCAGTGAATGAAGATCCTCACACTTTTAAGATGCACCATGTCTAATGGAAAGCTCAACCACATAATCACTCAGCTTCAAAAAAACGGGAGAGGGGAAAAAAGAAACCCATAACCATTAAACATTGTATTTTGTTGCTGTAAGTAAAGAGCCAGTTTGCAGCTGCGGGTGGATGCAGAAGAAACATCCACGGACGGAGAGGGAAACTTTGCCAAGATTTGTGAAGGCTGCGGCTTTACCCAGAGCCATGAATGATAGCTGTGAACAATTGTTTTCAGCTAATGTGATGTGTTTCCAGTGGGGTAATTAACGTCACCCTGTCAACACGGCTCTGTCTTAACAACATGTTAAGTACAGTTCCAGGATTGAAAATAAATAATTTAAACTGCTTCACATGAAGTTAACTTCACTCTCAGCTCATTCGTTAACACAGCCACATAAAACAGTCAGTTCCCTCGGTGCTTATTTCGTCCTGTCACTTCTCGCACCTTCCATACTGTGAAACAAAATGACAAGTTGTAACAGACAGACATGGGAAACAGCTGCCTGTGTCACTGCACCGTAGTCTACAGGAGCCCTTCCAATGCTGCTGACTTCAATCTTGAGTCTAAGTAAGCAATTTAATGAAAACACAAGGATTTACTGATGTGAAGAAAATAATTTCTCAAGGCTGGCCATCATCCTCTATCAAGGAGCTGTACCTGTCCATCTCCTCAGTGAATACTAAGTGTAGCAACACACATATTGTGAGCTCTTCATGTTTCGGTAGCTCAGCCCTCAATTGCCAATGGGATCCTAACACCTACAAGCAGTGCAAATGTGCAGTAGGGGCACAGACCTGCTCGAAGAGTGTCTAAATTGTCAGTAATCAAGGTAAATGGAAAGTGAAAGAGGAAACAGAGTCGAAGAAAAGCAAAGATGACTCATGATAAAGCCAGGAAAGTGCTGTTTTTGGCTCACAACTTCAGGGTAACACTGGTATGCCTTGCAGACCCACTGTGAAATGATGCAAAACTTAACTAAACTCTGACTAACCATATTTGAGATATACAGTAACAAAAGCGGGGGTTTTTCTCTTTTTCCTCTATCCTATCACTTTATGTAACGATTATTTGATTTCTTTAGTTAAGATACCAGACAAATACCCTAGCCAAGATGTTTAAGAGACAAGTCTATAATTAGCTTCATATCCATAATTAGTTGATGGTCTTATTTTAAAACTAGTGCACCGAGGATTGGTTTAAACCCATCTTGGCCCACACATTTTGCATAACTAAGGCTCATAACATAAACAACAGCTCAGTGCAACAGGAGACATGACACTTAAAGCAACTTGTTCATGTCTGTATCAGAGTCAGTTATACAAGCAGATCTTGTAATTTCTACTTTTATATTTTTATAATAATATCCTTTCCCTCCTATGTTATATCTTATATAAGTGTCTCATATGTAAATTTTTAAAAAATTGCTCATGCTCATGTGCTCAGAGACATATTCACAGAAATAGTATCATTATTCAGAAAATAAAAGTCTAAGAATCCTGGCAAAATGCAGCTAAAATGTATTTTCAAGGCTAAAAAAATTTCTAAATTTAATTCTTAACTGTTTGGCTAACATGTAAATTTTACCATCTCTCCTTATATAAAAAAAAATTCTTCTAATTAATATAACATCTGCTACCAACAGAAATACTGTAAACACAAAAATAGATAAGCACACATAGAGAAAGAGAGAGAGAGAATAAGGAGTACTTCACATAAAAGATTCAATAGAACAGTCACTGAGATCTTTAGAAAAAATCCCAAGACTGACAAAAAAATCAGCTCAGGAGTTTTTCTAGCCAAAAACTGTCATGTAGTCTACCAGGATCTGCTGTAACTGTCACTCTGAATTGCACTTTTATATTTAATCAAAAGCCTAATTAAAACTAAATGTCTACATATATTCCAGCTATACAATTACATTTTCTACACTATTTTATATACATATATCTATATCTATATCTATATCTATATCTATATCTATATCTATATCTATATCTATATCTATATCTATATCTATATCTATATCTATATCTATCTATCTAGACTGTCAGATGTAATAATGAATTCTATATACATCTTTAATACACATTCTGCAAGTTGTGGATGAATGTATGTTACTTTGCTATAAAATAAGCTCTTCCTGCACAAGCAATTAAACAGACTTAATTTTCCAAAGTAACATATTCTCTGTGAAGTGCTGCATACTGAAATAGCTGATACAATTTACCAAACTGATACAGCACAAGAACATATGCTGGGCGTTTTCTGCCACCGTGTGATACAAAGGAGGTATAGCGGTCTTCATAGCCTAAGTCTCTGCAAATTCCCTGGCAAGTTCAGCTAATGTTGTGAGAGCACATTTATTTGTAATTATAGAGGAATAACAAGGGTTGACTACAAAAGAAGTTCCAGGGACTCCTGAGTAAAAGTTAAAACAAGTTAAAGTTCAAATAATGTTTATTTCCACAGCTTGCAGACATGAATCCAAAACAGAAAGCAAGCATAGAAACCCCTTGTGCTCTAACACCTATGAACCTTTCTCTCTTGAATATAAACACTAAACATAAGCACTTAATAAACAGGTAACTGAAAGACCTTTAGCAGAGTGTCACGTTAAAAAACAAACTGCTACAGTAATCTGTGAGAATAAATAGCATCAGCTGGGAAGGAAAAAATGAAGGAAAGACCTAGCATAAAGTCCTTTTTCTCATGGCAAAACTGTAGCTTAAATTTGGGAGATGAAAGGAGGGCAGTAGCACCAGCAGAAGTTTGGAAGTTGACAGTCAGTGAAAAGAAACTGGAAAAAAACTAGAGCACGGCACGGGCTGCATTTCACATGCAAGGTATCAAAAAGACATTTTCTACTGGAAGCAGCACAGGTTGGATGGCATCACTCCCCATTACAAGAGCTACAGAAATAAAAGGCACAAAAGTTTAGCAAAGGAGAAGAAAACAGAATAAATAACAGACAGCATGTATGTTACCACGTGAAAACTGCAACTGTTGGTGAGCCCTGCAAATAACAATTCTCCTGTAGCTCAACCCTCCTCTCCCCAAATATCTTTCATTTAACTTCTGACAGCTGTCAAAACAGAATGTGATACTACCAGGGCTCTAAACGCAGGAGAAGACGGAGCTGCTTCCTGAATATAATGATTTCACAAGCCCATGTTGTTCTTGAGTTCCCTCAATGTTCTCAGTAACAGAAACATTTGAGTTTAGGCGGCTATATTCAGCCACCCCTGGTACTTCTCAAATAATCTGCAGGTGAGCACACTGTAAATATCTTCATATTCCCAGTCCTGAGAATTCACTAGGTGGGGGCTGTCTGCTTTTCAGAGAGGGAAATAACAGGGAGCCTGATCCTGTGAAATGTGCAGAGTGCTTTTTTTGTTCTGTAATCTCTAATTTCATATATTTTAAAGAGTTTCAGAACAGGAGGGAATCAGCTCCTGTGACTAATATGACTTCTTGTATATCCCGCATCATTAAGCTCCACCCAGATGTGCCTATATGAAGCCAAAGGCTTCCATTACACTGAAACATCATTCCAGCTCTCAAGAGCACAAATTGCTGGATGCCATAGAGGTGAACGAGCCACTGCGTGGCAGAGGTGGGAGAGACTGATGTGTGTCACCACTGACAAAGCCAACTGTGATCACGGGCAATCTATTTCCTGAGCTACGTCTCCCATCAGGTGAGCCGCTCCCACGCTGTAGTAAAGAAAAAGAAGGCAAAACAGAAAAACCCTTACAAAACAAGCCCTCAAGATCCAACCCAAACAAGTATGGGGAAAAGGAGAAAGGAGAGAAAGCACAATTCTTCCCATCTCTGTGGGCAATCCTATGTAGTCCTAAAGGACAGGATTTAATTAGAACAGTTATCTCCATGCAGATCTTCAGGTGCTATGAGAATTGTTCAGGGCAAATCTGGTAAATGTGTTCTCTTCACAGCCTAGTGAGGAAGGGAAGTTAACAAGCACACTTCAATTACAAAACCAAAAGGGATCATTATGAACCTCCAGCTCACAGACAGGCCATAGAATTGCTCCCAGAAACTGAAGACTGTTTTTAAAAGAAAATACTAAGGACTTTTTAATGATGAATTCATCAAGAGCCCCAATAAACTGCTATAATATTTTATTATGCTCATGACTGGCATTTTATTGCAAGGATGAATTTGCCTAACTTCAGCTTCTAGTCCCTGGGTCCTGTTAGAGCTTTGTCAGCAACACTGAAGAGCCCTCCCTCTCCTCAATATCAGATATCAGCTGGATCATGCTCAGCATCAATCAGCCCTTCATACTGGCAGGGCCGATCTGTATGAGAGTAAATTTTTCAGCTCAACGCATTATCACATTGCCTTTGAGAGAAAGACCATTATTCACGCTTTATTTTCACTTCACCCTTGTACTCAAGGCTTAAAAACAAAAACTCAAAATGGATTTGGCACAATTCATATGTCATAGA